AATGAAATTCCTGCGTTCTAGCTTTTACTGGTTTTAAGCTACGTGTAAGTATGGGATTTTCTTCGCTCTCTTATTGGTTTATTGAAAGCCTAAAAAATTCTATCAACTGTTGACTGATAGACAAAAAAATATTGTATCCTAGGATTCAGGACAGGACAGAAAAAATATTGATGAAGCGCAAAATTTCCGAATTCATCCCCATGTTGAGACAAAACCTCCCTTCAGTTGCGCCTATCGAAACATCTGTTCAAACATCCGATCAAAAACCGCCAATGCGAAGAACTATCTAGAATTGTTCATGAAATCATCAGAAAATGACGTCACTTACGTTTTGTTGAAACGCCGCCGCAAGTTGAGCTGGTTGCAGGAGGGCAGCGAACGGATTCAAACAGTCTGACATAGCACTCGTCGTCGCAACATGCAGCGGCGGCTATGTCTATTCTGAAAGCTTTCAATCAGCTTCTGTGAAAAATTATTCGAGCGACGACGCTAGTCGAGAAGTATGAACGGAACAAGCGACGAAACCGACAAGTGGAATAGAATGGAAAATCAGCAAAGTGAGGAAAACTTCAAAGTGAAAATTACTGGAGAAAATCACAATAGCATAAATTGTAATATCTGCGAGTGATTAATAATCACTGTAATAATGATAAGGAGTATATCAATTCGTTATAGCATACACATGAATAAATCCAAAAGAGGAAGTTATATTAACCATAGTATTGAACTATTCCCAGACGCTGTATTTTGCCCTTCCGAAGTCTTATGGCGAGCATGGCATGGGAAATCTCGTTCTCATCTTTGAGATACTCATATGAATTTGTTTCAATTCACTATGAATTATGCCCACTATTTTATTCGCATAATTGGCTAGGAACATAAATATCAACGAAACCAATTATAATAATCACTTACTATCGGACGATAAGTACTTAAAGAAATGGCAGAAAATATTTATCCTTTTATCAATTGAGATTGCTCCAAACTGAAGCTTCTCCAGTAGAGGTAGCTTAATGATTTTTGACCTGCACAGTGATGCGACCGAGCCATCACTATTCGAGTCTCATTTCGGTTTCTCGAATAAATTTACCACAATTTCCTTCTCACTGTCCTCAGTTTGGAAATGTGATCCTATTTCTTGAAGCCAGGACCGGGTCTGCAAGTGGTAAACGGCGCTTTCTGCGCGACAGTGTTCCAAATCATCATTGGTAGACTTTTCATAATTCATCAGATGATTACCCACTGGCCTAACTATTCACTGTTCCACATATAAGCCTACGATCAGAATAATTTCCATGTTATGTCTTAGGAAGGCTAGTCGTCAAGCGTAAATAATTGATGAATTTTTGTTAACAGACTTATTCCTGAACCAGCCGCTTCAAGCCCAAAAAACTAGGGTACTATTCGATCCATTCTCGATTTTCACCCATCGACACTTCTTAACCATTGAAAATTTCCTCCACGCCATACTTCCTCCAGATGTTGGCACCTAGCTGCCGTTATCTGGTCGAGTGGCAATGGACAACGAGCTTCGTACTCCCCAAATGATTGATAACAGCAATTGGATTGATAATATCTTCATTCGGAAATCTTTAGACTAGTGCGTTTGCCTTCCCTCCTCCAGAAAATAGACAGTTTTTTTTGCAAAAAAAAACCTCAGACTGGAGACAACGACTGAAGAAAAAGTTCCAAGTGATCCGACATCATTATATCTGAAATGTTTTGAGAGGATTGGGGAACGGTTCAATTAGCTGATACATCCTTATGGACACTTTAGGGCAGATTATGGATTTGAGATTCATCAATTGTGTTGAGATCTCACATTTGTTAGAAGATTCTTCATTGTATAAGCTAATTGACATGGGAGTAGAGCTTTCTCGCGCTGCGTTTGTGTGTGAGCCGGTGCACTTTAGGAACACGAGTCTCACTAAACGGCCGGCCATCGTCAAACGTCTCGATACACAACCTTCGCTGCAGAAGCAGAAATAATCATCATTTGTATTAATTTTTGTTATCAGCTCAATATATCACCATTTTACATTTATTTTTATTTTATTTTATTTATTTATTATTTTGCACAATACGTGCGCACAACAATATTGTTGTAGGCGATGTATAAATAATTACACGAACATATAGGTTAATAATAGGCACCACAGAACATGAGGCACTCAGCTGATCCAGTAGGAGGCTTGTGGCTGTTCAAGAATATTCGACACCATTTGCTCATAACAAGACATGCTTTGTTTGAGTAAAATTTTGAAAAATGTGATTTTTATTTTATTGTAATATTTTATTTTTCATGATCACAATTTTATCATTCCATGAGGGCCTCATTATCTCTACGGCCAAGGATACTTTAAGCAATGTTACGTAACACCATAGATACCAATCGAGAAAAGAAGATATGTACGTTGATAAAATGCCAAATTTGTCAGCAAAAATACATTTTTAGCATTTTTTTCCTGAAAAATATACTTCAAGTTTCGAACATGCGCACAAACTTATAGTTCAGAACTTGAGATAAGCCATGTATCTGACCTCAGTCACGTTCGCGGAGTCACGAAGTCTCACAAACCGTCGTGCGCAATTGCTGGTACAATTATTTGCGACTGTTCATGAGGTTATTATGAGCCGCGAGCGATTGTATTATCTACTATCCTCGCTTTTTTTTTCAAAAGCAAAAAATATGCTCAAGACCGATCCCTCCTCTGGGGATGGACCCTCATCCATTCTTTAGCCGACGCCTATTTGTGCTTTGCCCTAGACAAGCGTGCCCAAGTCAGAAGACTCAGCTGACCCCAGATGGACCTGGTTCCAGTTTTTTGACTCTGGAAGGATTGGGCATATGGTTGACCTGGACAGTATCCTATTCATAGGACATACCGTGTTATCAGTTGAAACTGCCTCAGTCTTTTTTTTTTTTTTCCCACTTCCTTTCACCAATGCAACTAATTCAGAATCCATTGTCCAAGGTCTCCCTTGCTTATGTTCCTATCCTAGTTCAGTGGTGGTTTTCAGCTCTCTGGCACGGTTTTGGTTACTCTAAGCGTGCCCATCACCTGATTCGATGGGTTCGTTCTTCTTCTTCCTCAGTTTTAACCTTTATGCTTTCTTCTTATCTTTTCCACACAACGGCTTGCGTATGGCACGAATATCCTTCGTGCATTATTTCTGATGTCTCAAAGATATAATCTCAGGACTGCAGTTGAAAATTGCGCCATGAATAGGAATTGTGGCTCGTAATCGCACGCTTGATGAATACCAACAAGTTGATTTCCTCTTCCACATCTTTTTTCAAGGTTATTGCCAACAAATGGATTTTTGCTACTTGTCGAATCTTTCTGCCGTACTTGCTGTTTATAACGAAGCACTCAGGTGTCGATTTTTCTTCAAACTTAAACATCTACATACGCATATTTTTTTTCTTAAATTCGGTTGAATTTGTTTTAGATCACCTACGTTATGCACCAGCTAAGGCATCGGATTGCACAAAACAAAAGAATTCATGTTTCGATGGAAACTTTGAGTTTCAGCTCATCCGAACGTTATATAGTTTCCGGGGTTTTAGAGCGACTCAGTTACCTTTCTTGAGGAGATTGTGATAACCGAACGCTTAAAGATTTGGAAATGGTCCCTCCAGAGTTTTTGATTGGAATGGTAGAGTTCGACAGAAAAGAGTTGAGTAAAAAATTAAGCTTGTATGTCCGCTAAATCTTATCCCTTTACCACCGTTCTCTTATGCCATGAAAATAGCTCCAGGGCGGCATGAAACATTCCGGCCTTGACATGATCCTCACACTCTTGCCAATCTTATCAATGGCTTTAGTCAAGCGTGAAAAGCTGATCTAATTTTCTTATACTTTTACATGGAAGTTTGAACTTTTTTTTTTAGTTACTATCAACCAGTAATTCAATGGAGATCATAACGGTTATTTAAATCTTGGGATTCCCACGACGCGTTTCCCTGGCATGCAAAGACACTTGGAGACCTATCAGATCCCATATGCTGATTTCTGTGTAGCTATCGTAGCGAGCAGTCTATTCCCTTTTCGTCCAACTGGGATCAAAGTCAGTTGTGGTGGACGGCGAGCGGACGTTGTGCTCGCGCGCGCGGGTTCGAGACGATTAGTACGATTATGTGTTTGTATTTGTCATTTTGTTGACTTGGGATGAGTGTGCGCTTAGTGAAGAGAGTACAGGCGTGGGTGCATCCATGAGAGTGCGCAGGCCGCTTGGACAGGGCGCGAACCGCGTACGAACTGGATAGCGTCTTGGTGAGGAGTGTGTCGGCTGGCGAGACAGTTTTAGAGTACTGTCTCGGCTTTGGATGACAGTTATGCAGCAAAGCGTGCGGGGCTCCTCGACGGCTCTCTGATAGCTTTAACCGACGAAGGCGACAGCCGCTACTGTCAGTGATGTCTTCGTGACCAACGAATCGGTCCAAGAAGACATGATCCATCACCTCCTCTGTTCCGCCTTATTGGATGTTGCGAATTTGTGCTAAAACTCATGATGTTTTCGAAAAGATACTTCGCCCAGGCTATTATCGCTCATTATGTCTATATTCGTGCTCGCACTTATCTTCAACCTCTTCCAGTTTTACTATACAGAACAGCTCGTCCAGACAACTGTGCGAGTTTTTTTATGTGTTGATTTTCGAGAAGCTTCCTTATTTCATTCGAACACTTCTCTTTTTATGATGAACTCAGAACATGCCTATAAATGGAGTATGTTCACTATTTGCTGCTCACGCTTTACCTCCTCCCTCCACCTTTCGTCACCATTGCTGTAAAATATTGCAAAACATTTCAGATATAATGATGTCGGATCACTTGGAACTTTTTCTTTCCAGTCTGAGGTTTTTTGTGCA